GGCAAGACTCCTAGACCTCTCCTCCCAGACCCTGGGCCCTCTGGCAGGAAGCTGAGCCTGACTCAGTCGCAGCCAGCCCGAGACTCTGGACTCAGCAGGGCAGCTCCCTGGGATGCCCTTCGTGGACAGAGCCATCAAGCTCCAGGTCCCAGACCGAGGGTGGCAAGAAAGATGAGGATGGGCCTGGCCCCAGGAGCCTTGAGCACTGTTAGCCCAGAGCGCCTCACTCCACATCTGTGGGCTTCRGTGTTACAGACACAGTCATCTTCTCTTGTTTTTTGAGCACTGCAATCAAGAGGAAACCCATCAACCCAGACCTGGCCCACTGGGGATGCTGTGGTGGGTGAATGGGGTCACTGAGGAGGAAAGGGAAGYAGCGCAGGGCTCTTGTCTGTCCAACTTCTGGTTGGCCGGTCCCTGGCACTCCTTTTTGTTGAAGTTTGGTTGTCCTATGCCCCCTTGGTAAAGGGGCTTTGGCACTCTCTCTGATCAGTGCCCTGGACCTTCAAGGCTGAGGCCACAGTCACCTGGATTGACCACCAGAGGGCGCCCGGCCTCCATGCAGGAAAGAACTTGGTGCGCGGGTCCTTTCCACCTGTGATCCTGAGACCAGAGGRGACCTCTGGAGAGGAGGTGGGTACTACAGAGATTCAGGGCCCCTCCCCCGCTTCGGGTGTCTGGGAAGAGAGTTGAAAGGGAGGACCCATGCTCCTGGTGCCCACCCATCTGCTGCCAACCTTTGCTTGAGTACAGAGGGGCAGGCCCACAGGCCCCAGAGACGGCAGAAAGCCCTAGATCCACGAAGAGCTCCTGGGGAGCTGCCTTGGGGGGCCTGATCATGGTATTCCAGACACAGCCTCCAGCCCCATCAGCTTTTCCTGGATGTGGGCTGCAGGAGGATGCTGGAGTGGTCAGATGCAGCCTGCTTCTGTCCAGGTGGACTCCTGGGGTGGGCACTGCTTCTCTGTCAGTGACTGGGCTCCACAGCCCTGGAAGGGAGCTGCCCCAGGGAAGGCCCCAAGTGGACAACTTTTGGTCCAGGACCAAGGTACTGCTGGGAAGCAGCCCAGCAGGGAAAGGGACGGTACCTCCCCTCTCTTTCACACAAGGACATTACAGTGCACAGGGGCTGAACATGAGCAGAGCCTCCTGTGCCCCACTGGCGGCTCAGATGATTGTTCCAAGCAGGCAGCTCACCAACTCCAATGGCCCCCACGGCCCCCATGGCCCCCACGGCCCCCAAGGCCCCCACGGCCCCCAAGGCCCCCACGGTCCTGTGGAGCTAGAGATGAGCTGTCTGGGGGCAGCTTTCAGTGGGATGGGAGACTGGGCCACAGAGTGGAGAGACCCAGGGTCTGGGCTTGTGGATCCTCTTGGAAGGCTGGTTACTTGTGCCCTTAGACAGCAAGATCTGCAAGAGGATGTTGGAGCTGTATACGGATCTGTAGGAGGGTGAGGTTTGGTGTCCAGGTCAGGGTGTGGTTGGTGTCCGGGTCAGGGTGTCAGGCCCCCACCTTGCACCTAGGACTCCACCAGAAATCAGGTTCCGTTTGGGGGACAGGTTTTTGTTTGATATCTGGTGTCCTCTCTTGTGTAATGTGTTTCCAGTGTGTGGATGTCTCCATTCTCTTATTTAAAACAGTTTCCCCTCTGGAAACAGCTGCCACAGCCAAGAGGAGCCTCCAGCTTCTGAGAGGCCATGGAAATGACCCCTCCCTCCAAGTGTCGTGCCCTCGAGAGAGGCCCTATGCTTGGATACGCAGGAAAATATGAATTGCTAATATATTTTCCCCTTAATTTGACAAAATCAAGCTTAACCAAAAAACAGAAGAAAGTCTTCCCTAAACCCAGACTTCATATTGGCTCACTTTGGGTGGWTTTCGTGGGGGTGGGGTGGGGAGGGTGAACCCTGAGGGGCTGCCTCTGATCTCATCCCTGAGGGTCTGTCCCTGGTCCTCTCAGGCGTGGACTGCAGACATTTGACTGGCATTGGATTTCCTGTCACACCACCAGGTAGGGTGGTGGCACAGTCTGCTGGGGTTTTGTGCCTCCTGAGGGCCTCTCTGGCTCTTAGCAGACTGAGTGTTTTTGCCTTCTGGTGGATTCTGTGGTGGTGGACAGGCCACTGCTTCCCAGCCCCTGTGCCCTAGCCCTGAAGCACGCTTGGTTTTAATCCAAGAGCCTGGGGGGGGGGGGTTGGAAACATGTGCCACGAGCCAGACAAGGAACATGGGGGGCTTTGCAGGCCACGTGGCCTCTGTGGCCACCGCTCAACAGGAAGTGGACAAGTGAGGGTGTGTACTGAGACTGAAGGACACTGAAATTGGAGTTTCATAGAGTTTTCACATATCAGGAAATATCATTCTTTAGATTCTTTGTTCCAAATGGCTAAAAATAAATGAAAAAATCGATCTYAGTTCATGGGCTGTGTGAAAATAAGCTGGACCAGATTTGTCCTGGGGACCAGTGTTTGTCCACTGCTCTGTTGCATATAGATCCAGCACAGTACCTGGGGAAAAGCCAGGTCCAAGCAGTGTTTTGTAATTTGCTCCTAAGGAGTCGCATGTGGGTCACTTTGCTGGGCTCTGTGGAGAGCCAGCACCTGCAACACCAGCATGGCTCCCTGGCAAGCACTCCTCTGCTGTCTTGCCAATCTTGCAACCACCCAGCCATCTTGGCATGTCTGCCCAATGGTCCTCACATGGTGTGATGTGGACAGCAGCAGGATCTGGCCAGGGGAGGACGGCTGGTCAACCCCTGCAGACCATCTGTCATGTGCCCTGCTGAACACGAACAGTTCCCACGGCTCGCCCAGCCGGCCCTCTCATGGGTGCTTTTCAATCCCATTTTCAGCACGGCCTCATGGAGGGAAATGAGAGACCGTGTGGGGTAGGAATCCTGCCACATAACAAACATTGCAGAAAGTCTCTGTAACTTCTTTAATCATTCCAACAACAGAGCACAAAGATACCAGTTTCAAGTACATTCTGRTGCACATTTTCGACAGGAATAGATATGTATTTAGTCACGAGGGGCTGGCAGCAACCACCATGCGTACACTTTGCACAAATTCTCAGCACCATCAACCTGGAAGAAGAGATGTGGGTGCCCACCTGGGTGGGAGTGGGCTGTACCTTCTCCATGGCCTGTGTTTTGTTGCTTCCTGTCCTTCCCTGTCTCATTATAACACTGTTAAAAGATGAACAGAGGGGACCAAGGGAGTGAAGAGTGGGGACTCTGCCATCTGGCCCTTCCAGAAGGGGCCCTGCCCAGAGCTGGGCATTCCATCAGGGTGAAGCTCAGCTCCAAGACACCCTGGTTGCCAGAACTCCTCAGGCACCACGGGTGCCCTTGACCACCTCCGGCTTTGTCAGTGCCAGACACCTCTCTCWGACCTATCCAGCTGCACTGCTGATTGGTTAGGTCCCTCACTCAGCTGAAGGAGTCGGCCTGCCCATTGTTTACCTTTGACCAACTTAGACTTGAGCTGCCAAAAGAACAGAAATTGCCAACTCCACCAGGGATTACGAACGCCTGCTTTGAAACTGCTCACCACCTGGAAGACCAAAGAAAAGTCTTTTTTGGAGAAAAACTGAGGCCAGCTCCTGCCTGGAGGGCTGACTCCGTGAAAGCACACAGAGGACAGCCCCTCCCCAGTGCCATCCAGTGAGCAGAGTCCTGGACACCTCTGAGGCCAGACCCTTAGCTCAGAAGCCCTTCAGGGGCCGGTCTTTCTTACTGCAGAAGCTCCCCCAGGCCTCCAGCCAGGTGAACCAAGGRAGCATGGACCCTGATCCCTAAACTGGGACTCCTCCCCAGATAGGCTTCACCTGCCAAGAGACCGCAAGTGCAGCCTTCCTGGACACTCTGCTCAGAGTGTAAAGCACGACAGTCACCTTTAATAAAYCAAAGAGCTACAAGTAACCTGCTGCCTGGTCTCAGAGACACAAGCCCATGCTGATAACCACTCTGCAGAGACTGGGAAATACCAGTGTAGCTCAGAGCCCGGGCAGCTGTGCCCCTGGAGCGATGGATGCACTGGGATCAGGGAGGATGCACACTCTGGATTGCTATGAGGATTCCAAGGACAGGAGGTTGGGAAGACGGATACCTGGCCTCTTCCCTTGGGATCCTCTCTGGAAAGGTCACTGTGAGGCTTCAAAAAGCAACTTCGAACCTTATCCTGAGGATCAGAGACAGCAAGGTCAGGGAAAGGCATGAAATTGCCCTACAATCACATGAGAAGAAGGGTCCAGGGGCTCTCCCAGGGCCACCTCTGGGCCTGGGGGTTGAGATTTGCTAGTTAAGACGGGGACATCCCCTACCTCCAGGCATGCAGAGAGAACTCTGCACAATAAATACAAACAGAGCTGAGGTTTCTCCTGCAGCGGACCAACTAGGGGGCTTGCTTGAATACTCTGGTCACCTATGCAGGCCAGGCTAATTCACAGTATAAGCAAGACTTCTAAAGGATATGGGGAGCCCTAGGTTTCCCAAACCAAGAAGCCAAGTAAGAAAAGAAAAAGGGCTGCATCAGTAATTCTTAGTTATTATACACTAGCCGGGCTGAGCGTGGCAYGTTTTATTTCTATAAAACTATTACAAAATATTCAAAAATACATTTTAGTAAATTTACAGCAGTTATTTCTCAATTTATTAATGCAAAAACATCCTTTTTTTTTTCTCTGTACAAACTACAGGCTCCATCCTTGTGGGCTCATCACTATGTGCACTTTTAAAAAATATTTTCTAATAAATTCTTTGAAGTTAAAAATAACAGTTCTTCCAGTTTGTCAAAAAAAAGTGTATGTATGTGAGTGTGTGTGTGTGTGTGTGTGTGTGTGTGTATGTGTGTGACATGGGGGGGGGAGGGAAAGGGAGAGAGAGAAGGAGAAAGAGACAGAGACAGTCTTGGTTTTTCAAGAATGTGGCCAAAATGATGATTACAATGCAATATTAAACCATGAAGACAGTACAGGTGATGGCTGTTACATTGGAAACTAGTTAAATTAAAATAATATATTTCATATTTTTACACTATTTCAAAAAATGAAATGTCATTAAGTATTGATCTCTCAAAAATCTAATTTACAATTCTGTGTATAAAAATATAATTTGTGGACCCCCATGAAGCATGTTTTAGTTTACACTTGCCGAAAAGCAGGAGCCTAGCAGAGGAGGGACGGAGAGCACAGAATTCTGCCTTCTGACACTCAGGCCCAGGGGCACGTAGAAAAATAGACTCTGAGCAGGTTGCTTGGCCTCACAAAATAATCTCCCCCCGTGAGTACAGTTCACATGATAATAATAAATTATCCAAGACACAAACTAGTTAAGGCTCTTGAAGGTCCGGTTCATATTATTTAAAACATCTATTCATACCAAACAAATAAATAGCCAGGAGAGGAGAAAAATAACCAAAATAAAACAATAACCAAAAAATTCAAAAAATATATATATAAACTAAACACAACAACAAAGCTCCCCGTGGTCTCTGTTTCCTTATAGTCTCTACTTTGGACTGTCCTACTTTATTATTATTATTAATTATTATTATAATTAAAAGTCTCATTCCGTGCGCGTTTCCCGTGTGTCGTTTGCTTTATCTCGCTGTCGCTTCCCGCGCCCCGCCCCCGCCCCTCCCGTCCGCCTGGACTTCAGCTGGACTTGACCGCCATGCCCAGCGGGTGCAGGGCCTCGCTGTCCAACAGCCAGGTGCCAATTTGGTAGAGCAGCTGGGAGTACCAGTGGATGCCCGTGGTGGCCGCCGCCCCTGGCGCCTCAGCCGCCCCTGGCGCGGGCTGGGGGGCCCGGCCTCCGCCCCCGCCGTCACCTTCGCCGCCGCGGTCCGTGTGCGCGGGCGCCAGCGCCGCCAGCAGCGCGTGCGCCAGGCGGAAGGGCGCGAAGGCCCGGTGCGCCCAGCCATGCTCCTCGATGACGGCGTAGCACGAGGCCAGCACCCTGTTGATGAGGATGGTGCCCTGCGCCGTGAGCGGCGCGTAAGCGCCCGTGGCCTCCTCGCGCAGCGTCACGCTGTGCACCGCGGCCTGCAGGAGCCGGCGGTCCCCGTCGCGCTCGGCCACCACGTACACACGCTGGCCTGGACGCACGCGGCTGGCGAAAAGCGCCCGGCGCCCCGGCGGCAGCCCCGTGCCCCACGGCGCCTCGGGGTCCCCGGCCGAGTCGTTGTGCGGCGCGACGAAGAGCAGGTGCGCGGCGGTGAGCAGCAGTCGCTCGCGCGGCTCCCGCGTCTCGATCACGTAGAAAACCTTTTTGGCGCCGTCGTCGCGGTCCAGGAAGGTGAGGAAGTCGCTGTAGAGCAGCCTGCCCTGGTCGTCAGCCGCCAGCACGCGGTCCCCGGGACGCAAGTCCTTCACCAGCTTGGTGCCACCCTGCTCCAGGTGCACCGTGGCTGAGCCAGGGAAGCAGCCGCCGGATTTAGCCGCCACTGAGTTCTCTGCGGGCGGGGATAAGGGAGAGAAGAGGGCACAGGGGGTTGAGTACCACGTGGGACGGGAGGTGTGCGCCACGCGTGAGCCTGGGCCGGGGTTCGAGTCCAGGTTGTCCAGCGCGGACCTCGCCCCTCCGCCAGCCCCGCCGCCTCGGTGACAGGATTCAGATGCAGGCGCATTCCTGAAGGACTCCACGTTGGGGCCGGCTACCCTCCCCGCCTTCCGCCTTCCTCCCGCCCCACCGCTCACACCCAGCCTCGCTGCGAACTCAGGATATTTGTTCGCCACGTGGATTCCTCGGGAAGCCTTGAGCTCGCGCGGGTGTCAGGGCGCACTCCGCGCCTCCCGTCCCCGAGTCTYCCAGTGTGCTCCGCACCCAAGCTGCGCTGGAACCCCACCCCGGATGGATGTTCCCCACCTCCCCCGCCCAGCAGGGCCCTCTTGTTAGCCTGTTGGTGGGGGGAGTGGTGTGTGAAAAATAGCTGTAGTAGTTGTAGCAACTGGCCAAACATTCCAGAGAATTGCCCGAGGTGTGAAAATCCGAGGCTTGTGTGGATTTTCTAATTAAAATCCAATAAAGGGCCCAGCTTTGTCATTGTGATTCTGGAATAAATAGAAGACACTCTTGGAAAAGGGGACACTTCCATTTCTCCTCCTCCCCTTTCTCAGCTCACTCTCCAGCTTGTAGGCTGCCCCCTCCCTATTTGCTCAGGTGCAACCCCCACCCCCGGCCCCCCGTGTGCAATTCACACACGGGCTCTCCAGAAGCCCGGGCCTCACAGGCACTATTTGCACAGCCAGGCCTCTCTGGGAAGCACTCGAGATGTGTATTTGAATTTTAAATGGCCAGGCCTGCTTGGAGCGCTGGAAGCGCCGGGTTTCAAGGCCCCTTGACTACCCGCTTCCTGGGCCCTCCATCGCTTTCTGAGGCTCACTATCCCGAGGACAATAATTGAGGTTGGGGCGGAGCACGGGCGAGGGGGGGGGCAGGGACGAGAGGCAGGGAGGTATGGATCTTCTTTGCATTCCAATCTCCGGGATCATGCTTTTTGCAAATAGAGATTGCGAGAAAGAATCTTCCTGCTGGAATTACAGAAGGTTTTTAATCTTCTCATTGGTTTCTCTGTCATGAAGTGCGGGGCTGGCCGTTGGAGGCCCTCTGTAGCCCCCCGGAATGCGACCCCGGGCGCTGGCGAGCCCAAGTCGTCGAGTCGCACGACCCTGCTTGACACGCACTGCGCCGCGCCCAGGCTAGCGTGCGCAGAATGCCAATGAGCGGCTTGGCGCCCAGGGTTCTGCTCTCCCGGCGGGACCCTCTGGGCGGGATTACCGCTGCTCATTTGGGAAGAGACCTCTAGGGACTTCCGCCAGGGGGACCTCACGAACAGTGCTGGCGTAAAGGAGACCTCGCGCTTCTAAGCTCAGGAGCAAGGTCCCCGAAAGGGCGAGCCGGGGGGCTGAGGGCCTCCCGCCACTACCATTTCCCATCCGGAGCAGAGAAGGAATCCCCAGCAAAASTCTCCTCGCTTCGAGCCCGTGCAGGGGTAGGGGCGTCGCCAGGAGCTGTACTTTTTCCTACCTGAGCTCTCACACCTTCACCTTCGGTTGTTGCAAGAAGCAACGTTTTCTTACCTATGCAGTGGGCTTTAACACTGTTTTCCTACTAACGTGCCCTTAAAATGCAGTTTAGAAGAAAACGGGGAAAACTGGAGGGGGGCACGGAAGACAATTCCTTCGAAATTCACTRTGAATTGTCTTGCTAAATGTGTCTACTTGTCCGAGAGATGGCAAGATCTGCACGTACGGCCCCAAGTCGGGTAGTGCGCGTGTGTGGGTAATGCCTCGCCGCCGCGGCTGTTCCTCCCGGCAACAGCGTGTGGCGTTGCAGGCCCAGGGAAGTCAGCCTCAGCCTGGGGCCAGGCGCTCCAGCTGCAGACCGGGAGGGGATGGCCCTTTCCCGTTCCTGCCCTACGCAGGGCACCCCAGCTGGGCTCCTAATAAGAACGGATGCTTCCTTCGGCTCCAGATGTTGGAAGTGGTAACTACTGGGTTTATTGCCTCCCACCAGGCCTCTCCCCAAAGGCTTAGCGAGTGAGTTAGGTTAGTTAAGAATCCACAGGCGCTCAGCAGGGAGGAGCCAGCAGCCCATTTATGCCCTGGACAGACCCTCCTGCACTTAGTGGGAGTGGTGGTAGGTTTTTAAGCCCCAAATGAGGGAGGAAAGACCTGGCTAACTGCAGAGTCGCCATGGAAATTTCAGCACTCCCCGCCAACCTTCACTCTTTCTTCTCSTTTCCACCACCTGCAGTGGGGACTCCAAAAAGTGGGGTCTGGAGACTCTGAAAGCCACAGGTCTTCTGAATCTGGGCTAGAGAGCCAGGGGACATCCGCCTTCAGGGTTGGCAGGGAGGGGGCTCACAGGGTGCTCCTTCCTCCCTGGCCCTCACTTCCCTTTTACTTTTCCCCTCAAATTAGAGGTGAGGATGTTAGTGTCCTCAATTGTTAGTGTCTACAAAGTGTCAAAGACCACTTCATAGGTCAAGAAAATAGTGGCTTCTTGCACCAACAGATAGCCTTACAGGACAGACCTGGAGTGAGGGTACTGTACTGTGTGGGGTCAAGGGATATGGAGAAAGGCTGGGCATGAGGGGTCTTACCTGCTTTCACGGAGCAGTGGATATGGGCCTTGGACTCATAGTACACCCAGTCAAAGCCGGCCTCCACAGCCAGGCGGGCCAGCATGCCATATTTGCTCCGGTCACGGTCGGATGTGGTGATGTCCACAGCACGACCCTCATAGTGCAGTGACTCCTCCGAGTGGTGGCCATCCTCGTCCCAGCCCTCAGTCACCCGCAGCTTCACTCCTGGCCACTGGTTCATCACAGAGATGGCTAAGGCATTCAACTTGTCCTTACACCTCTGTAGAGAGAAGGGGTGCCCAACCAACAGACCTGTTAGCTCCGCCGCCCCACCACCCACGCCAACCCATCCGTCAGCCAGCCCTGACCAGGCTTAGGGTAAGGACATGTGGAGAGAAGTGGGGAGACAGAACTAGTGTGGGCATTGGGTGGGGAGAAGGGAACAGCATTTGCAGGAGGAGCCAGTTCTCTTGGAGACAAGCTGAGGACCTCCTTCCAATCCTGAAACTACAAATCAACTAGCATGGTCTGAGAAATAAGCAGAGTTTCTCTGGAAGAGGAAAACTGTGTTTCAGACACAAGCTCCAGAACCCTCTAGGGGCACCATCGGCCAATGCTACCCCCACCCCCACTGCTCTCCACTTCTTAGACCTGTCTGTGCTCCCTCCATTCTGCACACCTGGGCCAGGGTCTACCATTCTCTCTGGGGTAAATCCCTGCTGAGGAGGCCTCAGAGGCCAGTGCAGTGCACTACTTAAGGACAGGGAAACCAGCGCCATCTCCCTCTGGACCTTCCCTCCTACCCTATGCCTATCCAAGGCGAGAAGGAAGCCAAAGGTGAGGGAGTGATAGCCACTCAGGGTGGGAGGCAGCCCAAGTGCTTGGAGGCGGGAGGCAGGTGAGCTCTAATGTCCAGCATGGGTAGGGCCGCAGGACAAACATTCTCTGTCTGGGCGGCCACATTCCTCCCCTGTGGAACTCCTCTGGGCCAGGCTGCTCTGGGTCTGATTGTGTTCTTGTTTTCTTTAACCTGTTCCCTTCCTCCTTTCTTGTTTTCTTGGCTTTGGTGCAGAATGGTGTCCAGCAAGTTTGAAGAGCAAACTTAAAGGGTGGGGAGGGCGGGCAGGAGAACAGGTGGGGGATGGGACCCAGAAAGGCCTGAGGCCTCTGGAGCCCGGYCTGCCCCTCTGCTTGCTCTGCTCCCTTCCACCCATGTGCAGGGCAGAGTGGAACTTGGGATTGTGGGGGCTCCATCCATAATCTTGGGCCATATTCAGAAAATAAAAATTGAGTCAAGTGTGTGTGTGTGTGTGTGGTGGGGTACTCATTCACTACCTGGGCCTTTATACTGCTGTGGGTTGGATTCAGGATTTGAAAAGGGGGAACTGGAGATACAATGATGATGGTGCACCCCAAGAGAAGCAGACCAGGAGAAGCAATTGCAAGGTGACTTCTGTGGAGGGTAGGGCTGATATCCACCCACCCCAAGGCGGGGAGAGATGCTCTGCTTGGAAGCAGGTTACTGGGATGGAAAGGGCCCTAGTAACAGCCAGGGGAACTCTTTTACAAAGGGCGGAGACTCTTGCAAGGACTCTGCCTGCGCTTTCAGGGGACTGACAAATTGCGCAACAGGAAAAGTCCTGTGTATCTGGCAGCAATAAAAACCAGTAATATGGTCGCAGAGTTAAACATACAACAAATGCCGAGAGGACAGGGGGGGGCTGGGGCGGCCCTGGTAACAGGTCAGCGCTTGCAGGGTTCTGGGCCTGCCGGCAGCTTTTTTAAGAAGTAAAAGAAGAAAAAAAGAAGAAAGAAAGAAAAAGAAGTCAGAAGGGCAGAGTTTGAGTGAGGTCATCTTGAGGATTGAACGCGTTTTACATGAAAATCAATCAGTAAACCAGGGTCCGTTTAGAGCCGGGATCTGAAGCCCGGTGCGCGCAGGCGCACACCGCGGTACGCACACGCACACTGCCACCCCCATTCCAGCCCCCACCCCACTACAGCTCCTTTCTCTAGGGAGGGGGGAGCAGATGAGGCTTTAAACAGCTTCCCACCCAGCAGCCTGGGAGAGGGAGGGCAGCACGGACCCAGCACCCTGAGCTGCGCCACTTGGGCAGGCATGGAGGACCCCAGGCCAGGAGCCCGGCGCGGAGCCAGGCCCGGGCGACCAGGACAGGCCGAGGCCAGGGTTGCCAGAGTTGGCACCCCAGGCACCCCGCCCTCCCGGGCACTAGGCCCTGTGCGGCCTCAGCTGGCGGCTGCAGGACGCTCCCCCGCCCGGGCTGGGAGGGATTGTCTCGGGCAAAGCCGGGAAGCTCAGGCCGGTTATTAATTCATTGGGTCGTGTGCCGCGAATCAAGTGCGACTCTGTGCAGCCACCGTGAAGCCCAGCAGGGCCGCCGGGGCGGGCTTTGTGTCGGCAGAGGCCAAGTTGCTCCCCACGCCAGAGCTCCTGCCCGGCGCGCCCAGAAGCTCGGGGCTGGGACCGCCGCTGCCGGCAGCCGGTAGGCTTCCCCCAGTGCAGGGGAAAGAGACCCCAGACCCTAGACGCGCCTCTCCCCCTCCTCCCCCACTGAGGAAAACAGACCCCTGTGTTCAGAACAGAAGAAAACATCCCCAAGCCCCACACCCGAGCTCCTTTCCCCATAGGCTCAAAGCACACAGGAGGTCTATTCAACGTGGCGTCTCAGGTGGTCCCCCACCTCAGCCCGCAGAGCCGGCAGATCCGGCCGCCGGCCGCCTCCCTCCCCAGCTCTGTGGCCGCCGGCACCCTCGCCTGGCACCCGAGGCCTGCGCCAGGAGAGGGTGTCTGTCTGCGCTTCCCCTCTCTCGGTTAATATTAACCAGGAGCTCATGCGTTCCAGAACTGCTCCGAAAGTTCCACTGGGGACGATCTTGCCATGGTTGAGGGACTTGGGCGGCAGTCACATTAGAGAGACAGACAGGGAGGGAGGCAAGACAGAGGACGAGGGCCATTGCGCACCTGGGCCCCAATCAGGTGGTTATTTAGAATGGGGGCCAGCGGGTGAGCAGGTTCCCCAGGAGCACACACCTCCTCTGGGCCGGGGAAGGGTCCCTAGCTGGGCCCCTTCACCCACCTCCAGACTCTCACCACCCAGCCCTCCCCCTCCCGCCCGCTTAACTCTCAGAATCCGTGGAAGAAAGCCCAGTGGAGGGACGAACCTAGTGGCACCTCGAGACTGTCGCAGCTCCAGCCACCCGCGGGTTTAGGAGACTCTTTGCGGGATGGTGATGTGACCGTGGCCTGGCTCTCCCCCACCCCGGCCACCCCACTTTGGCTGTCCCCCCCCCACACCGCCTTTTGTGTTGGGAAAAGGAATAGCCACTGCCCAAGTGAAAAAAAAAAAGTATTTGTTTTCGTTTCGTTCGTCTGAGGGAAGTTGACAGAAGGTCAGAAGTTCAAATGCTGCCAGTGCGCGCGGCGGCGAGAGTGGCGGGGCGTGGGGCCGGCGGGCCCCGGTCCGGGCAGGGCGGACAGGGTGGGGGAGGGCCCTGGCTGGGGGCTCTAGTTGGGGCGCAGTGGCCGGAGGGGCGGAGAAGGCGGCGGGCCGGCCGCGGGTGGCGGCCCTGGGCTGGCCGCGGAGCCTGCGCTGCGCCCGGGCCCTGGAACCCGCCGGCCGCGCGCTCCGCCCTCCGCACCCCCGCCCCCGCCGCGGGGTAATTACGGCGGTGGGAGCCGGGCTCTCAGCTCCGGCCCGGCCTGCGCTGGGCGTGTGGAGCGGCCGGGACCGGCTGCCTGCGCCCAGCCCCGCGCGCGCTGAAACCGTAGCCGCGAGATCGATCACCCCGGAGTAAGTGGAGCTGAAATGCGTCTGCTTCGGTGCGCGGCTCCGCGCGTTCGCCGCTCTGCAGCAGTCGACGAGGCCCAGGCCCCTGGGCAGGGGCGCGGGCCAAGGACCCTCTCTCTGGCGTCCGCCTCGGGCAGACCAGGACGAACGCGACTCGCTCAGCCGGGGGACCTAAGGTCCCCGCCCCTGAGGCTTTCTTTTCCATTGCCTCCTTCGTTTCGGATTCTGAGGACCTGGAGGCCGCCCGTCCTCCTCGGGGAGTGAGGGTGACAAGGTGACTGGGCTAGCAGGAGAATTCTCTCAGCTGGCGGCACGCACCCGGCACCCCGGGCCTGTGCAGCTAACCGTGGCTCGCGCTGCTCTTGGGCACAGGCGCGCGCGTACACACTCGCGGTCCAGATTTAAAGTGGTCGGCAGCAGATGAGGGAGTGAGGGAGTCTCCTCACTGCGTCCCCACTCCTACCGTTTGCCGGCTCTAAACCGAGACCCGGCTGCGGTCTTCTTTCCACCTCCTCACCCGGGAGCCCGTGGCTAGCAGCGCGGCTCTGAGGAAGCTCCTCTTTCCCTCCCGCCTGCACCTCCCCCTGCACTTGCGCCCCACCAGCGCCGCTCCGTCAGCCACTGTGCGCACCTAGCCCTAAAGGTAGGACTTGAATATTTTAATAGGGCAATAAAAAGGATGTTGACCTATATTTGCAAGAAAACCCATTTCTAGCTTCAGTCATACGTGCATGGAGTTTCAGAAAGTCTAGAATTGGCTGGGAGATTGGCAGCCCAGAAGTCTCCAAGGAGGTGGGAATGGAGAGAGGAATTCATGTTTTGCTTTGCCTCTCCTCCCACCCGCTGCCCCTCACTAATATTAATTCCCTCTTAATTCTTATGCAAGCAGGTTGAAAACTCAAGTGATGCAATGCCAATAAGTTTTTAAGTCCCCCCCCCCAAGGCACCCCAGCTCCGGAATGAAGAGCATCCCGACAGAAATATCAATACATCTGGTGGGTACAAGTGGGGAGGACAGAGTGGCAGTGCATGGATAATGAGCAGAGGCTAGCAGGGAGCTTCTGGAGCCCCTGGCTTTTGTCAGACGGCCCCTGACTTTTCCAGTTAGGATTCTCTGGTACTGGTGGTGGGGATAAAGGGTGAGGACAGTCTTGAAAAAAGAAAACCACAGAGAAGGAAAACGTGTAAGCTCTGAGCTCTAATACTCAAGGCTACCTTTGTACAGTGACCTGGAGGTCACTTAGGATTATGGGTGCATTCCCACAGCTTTCCTCCATTTCCACCCTGGACTTGGAAAGGGCAGATGCCCCTCTGAAGTCAAGGTCTCCCAAGTTACAAGCCGGAGTAGAGGAAGGAGAGGGGAGGCTGTCCCAGCAAGACTAATCAAATCAGGGCCCAAATGGACCACATCCCCTTCTGTTCTCACCCCACCCACACCCTAAACTTCTTTGATGGACTCTAAGCTTCCATTCTCCTCTAGGAAGAGGAGCCCTGCTAGGTGGGCAGGTGGGTGGGGAAGGAGAGGGCCAAACAGTCTCCGGTCTATCCGCCCAAAGAGCAAACAGAAAGTGTGGACTGTTTGGTCGCAGGCAGCCCCCTCAAGGAACACGCTCCACGCCCCGCGCAGGGTTTCTACCTGAGTCATCAGCCTGTCTGCTCCCGTGTTTTCTTCATCCTTAAATATGATGTCGGGGTTGTAATTGGGGGTGAGTTCCTTAAATCGCTCAGAGTTTCTGGAGATCTTCCCTTCATATCTGCCGCTGGCCCCCAGGGTCTTCTCAGCCACATTGGGAATAAACTGCTTGTAGGCTAAAGGGGTCAGCTTTTTGGGGTGGCGCCTCTTGCCAAATCCCCTGCCGGGTCCGCACGCCAGCCCCGAGCACACCAGCAGCGAGGAGACCAGGACCACGAGCAGACATCTCGCCAGCAGCAGCATCTCGTCCATGGAACCTGGTGACTTCCGAGCTGTCCCCGCGGGTCTGTGCGCGAGCAAGTGCGCGCGGGTGTGTGCGTGTGCGCTCTCCCTTGCGCTCTCCCTGTCTCGCTGGGCTCGCTCGCTCGCTCGCTCGCGCGCTGCCTGGCTCTTTCTCTTTCTATATAACCTTGCCCGCCGCTGCTGCGGGGGACTCGCCGCCGATCCCCACCCAGACAGGGGCTGCAATGGCAGGCTGCCGGTCGCTGATAACGGAACACATCGGAGTTGGGTCTCGGTCTCGAGGCAGCAATCAAAAGACAAAAAGAGTCTGATTTTAAATGGTAGCAAGCCTGGGGAGCTTGTGAGACAGGCTGCCTTTCGCACTATATTATAGCTGGCAGGGGCGCATCTGATTGGCCAAAGCCGCAGAAGCTTGTCTTCTGATGTTAACCCTGAAGAAGACTACATTTTTTTTTCTGTTGCTGCTGTTGCTTTATTTTTACCTGAAGGCTTCGAGTTAAAAAAAAAAAAATAGGGAGGGTGGAGGGAGGTCTTTACTAAGAAGAGGTGGGCGGCAGGGAAGAGGCAGGTTTCCTAGGATGAGATCGATTCCTGCCTGCTTTGTGCACATCTCTGTGCTTCCCCCTTTACTTTCTCTGGAATGGTAGGTGCTTCAGTTAAAACCAACATAAGTTTTTAAAGGACAGTCTAGACCCCCACACACACACACACGCCCCAAGCTTCAGTCATCAACAAACAGTCTCTCAAATGTTTGAGAGGGAAACCTGCCCAGCTCTACTGTTTCCCCCAGAGACTTGATTTTTTACAGGCTAGGTGCCCCTAGGAGGAGAGGACCCTGCACCTTCTTCTGAAAATTTACCATCCTTGGACAAGGGTAATTATGTGAGGCCAAGACTTTAGGCATTGCTGTTTGAAATGCTTTATGTGCCTTAGAAAAACTTGAAAATACTGCTTCTTCTTTGTGTTCCCATGAATGCCTGACATGGTTCAACCTCTGCAAAGAAGATGAGACTCAGGAGCAGGTCCAGAGTGAGCCAAGGGGCCAGCAGGGCAGACCACCTGGTGGGCACAGAGCAGGGAGCTGGCTGGGCTAGTGCATGTGTGGTGGGAGGAGGCCATTGTGCCTGGGGCAGCAAGGAGTGGGCAAGGCTGTGCACACGCACACAYACACACCGCACACACACATCCCCGTGATCGATCTGAGCAAAGTGCAGGGCCAGGGATGAGCTGGACGTGGAATTCAGGCTCCTTGCCACAGTGAGTGGAGCTCCSTAAGCCAGTCCTCAAGGACAGAGGCCAGCCAGGTGCTGGGGCTACAGACTAAGGGGTGGGTGGGGACCCTGGGGAACAGGGTTCTGGTCAAAGAGCATCATAGAAAAGGGAACAGTGCGTAGAGTTCAGCAATCCTTGAATCTCCAATCCCTTTCACTTCTTTTAGGAAAAGAAAAAAAATTAAAAGTCCTAGTTTTAAAAGTCTGAAATTTATTCTTTTTATGGAACGTGGCTTCCCCTCTTGTTCCTCCCCCACCCCTCACACAGTAAATCCTCCAGACCAGGGCAAGTGGCATACTGACCCTGAGGAAGAACGCCTCCKCGGCTGCCCTGCAGGATAAGTGCTCCCCTTGGACCCCCTCCATCCCAGGCAGAGCCAAGGCCAGTAAGAAGCTGGGCTCTCAAGCAGGGGCACCTTCCGGCACTTTCTTGGCAGGCAGGCTGTTTTTGGGTGGGGAGAGAAGAGGTGCATCTTAGGAGAGACTCACGGTCAGTTGCTCTCCTGCTCTCCCACCTAACCTGTCTCTTTTCTCTGTTTTACAATTTGTGAAGAATCAAAATCTTCCAGAGAAGGCCGACCCAGAGGCTGGGCRGCACAGCAGCCTGCAAGCTTATCCAGGCCGGCTGAGCAGGGAACTGGGGTCTCCACCCAGCAGACAGCAGAGCTGTCCTGCTGAGGGGATGTGCCTCTGCTGCAAGAAAAGACCCACCACCCTCTGGGGAGGAAGGGAGGGCCTGTTTGATGTGGTCTCCTGCACAGTAGATGCAYGTTGTGCCCCAGGAGTGCTTTGGGACTAACAGGTGACCTGAGCTGCCTGGTGTCTACCTGCTTCAGTTCCTTTCCTTCCCTGTTCTTTTCCACCCTCCCTTACAAACTCAGGCATGCGCAGAAAGCCCACAGGACCCACGGCCACCCTGTAGCCCCTGAGTGCAGACAGGCAGGGGGTGTGCTGGGAGCAGCGATGCTGTGCAGACAGTTCACCTCCTCGACACGCAGGGTGGGCAAGGCGTGTTATGGGGGCAAATCTGCATGGGCACGGCTGGACTTGGGCACCTCAGGAGTGGTCAGCTCCCTCTTGGCAGAGGGTTGGGACTGGATGAGGTTTGGCATTGTGCTGGGCTACTGGGGAGGTTTTGTCAGACACCTACTGCAAGGCACCAAGGACGCTTCTTCTCTTGCCTCCATCTCCCACCAGCCCTGGGCACTTAGAGAATCTGGTGGGGATTGGCCTTGGGGGAACTGGATGGACCTGTAAGGATAAAGTAATGATGCACCTTAAAACTTGTTACTGACATCTGACTGCAGAGTGCCTTCTCCCTGTCACRGGTGGGAAAAACCTGGAGGAAAGCAAGGACATTTTGTACCTCTTATCTGAGAAACAAGGGCGCGGGGCCGAGCCACCTGAGAAGCTGCACCTCTGTCCCTAYGCGCCATCCCTCCATCCCACCCACTCCCCACTTCCCAGACACCACACACCGGCTGCCTTCCACCTCCAGACACCAGATGGCTCCCTCTCTTTGCCTTTCCCCCTCCAGACAATTTGGGCCCCTCCCTGTGCCAGTCAGAGGTTCCAAACCCTGGCTTCTGCGAGACAGGAGCAGACATTCCCAGCGCCCTCAGGACCCATTTCCAATTTGTCTAGGCGATTCCCTTCTTTCTGGGGATCATTTTTAGCCCCCCTCCCTCCCTCCATGCTTTCAACCACTCCTGCCTCGGCGCTGAGCACAGGTGCGGGTCTGCCTTCTGCCCCAGCCCCCCAGGAGGCGCCGTCCTGGGCCCCTCCCCTCCCTTCCGGCCCCTGCCGCTAGGTGGCCTCCTCACTCTGCCTTCGGCTCCTGGTGGCTGGTTTGGGAAATCCCCGCACCCCTAGCTTGGCAGGACCAGGAAGCCGGGCTAGCCTTGTAGGTCCAGCCTCACCCCACTTGCCCTTCCCCCAGTTCAGAGTAGGGATCTGCAGCTCTGACCGTGGCCTCGCCCACCTCTGCCTGCGGGGCTCCCCCAGGCTCCCCAGTTTCACTCCACCGGCTCCAAGCTCACGTTTCCTCTTCCCTGTGTCCCTCCCCTTTGATTTCTCTTCCTTATMATAGTTCTGCACAATCTCTTTCCATCCAGCTATTCAGTTTCATTTTCTTTCTGGATTTTTCCAATTTTGGCAAATTGAATTTCTGCTGCTCTCTCTCTTTTTGTGATTTTTAGCCACAGTCTCCTCTAAACTCTAGAGGGAAAACTGGCCCTTCGTACTGTTCCGAGGGGGCTGTTTCTTGCCCACCCCTGGGTCTGAGGGATGTGAGCTCTGTGTGCTACTTGGTCAAGGAACCCRGGTGGCTGGTGGCCATGCCGGCAGCTGACCTGAGGTAGCAGCTCTGTTCCTGTGAAAATGCCAGTAAGTGGGGACCCGGCCTAGCACAGCCTTCTCGGGTTCCTGCATCCATGTCTGTCATCCTGCAGCGGAGAGCAGATGAGCTTTGAGGCCATCATGCACAGGGCCTCTGGTGGCTGTGGCCTATGAGAAGCTGTCTCTGCTGCTGAGTGATAGCAGCTGGACCTCACCAAGCTGACTCTTGGCAGCACAGTGCAGAGGGTACTGGAGATCTTCCACCCCCGCAGCTCCACCACTGTGGGGAGAACCTGGGTCCCTCCTGGTTTTGATCACTCCAGAGTGAGTTGCCAGTGACCGTTCATGCCTAGTCCTGCTGTCAGTCCTGCTGGCCCAGCGGGTGGAGTGCCCGCAGCTCGAGAGCTGCAGATAGGAGGCTGAGCTTGCTCCTGGAGTGGGCTTTTCGGGTCACTTTCCTCCCGGTGCCCAGGGAACCCCTGGCTCGGCAGTGGCCACAGCCTCTCCCCAGGACTCCTGCCGGGGCCAGGTTGGCTTCACAGAGGCTGAGCAGGCACGGCATACGGGCTTCACAGAGGAGGGSTGGAAATGCTGCTCCTGCTAAGGGTGAGGACAGTGGTGGCACTCTATCAAGTAGACCCTCCAGGGCAGGGAGTATGCTTCCATGTGAATATGCAGCCTGAGAGATGCTGCTTTGCTGCCGTGGCTGAYGCAGTCTCAGGCCAGCCTGCCTCCACTAAGTCACAATGCCCTGGTGTTTCCTCCAGCTCTGAATGACGCCTCAGGCAGGTGGACCCCCAAGTCCTAGAGCGCTTTCCTCCCCTCCAGCTACCTTTGCAAGCTGGAGAGAGGCACACAGTGTGGGCAGGTAGCCTTTTGACCAGGGAAAGGGACAGAGCTGGATCCAAGACTTAGTTCTGCTGGTCCTGGTCTGTGTGCTGTGCCTTGGAACTCGACCATGAGCCTATCATCCCTGCAATCTTTGAGCTACTTAAAATGCAGATGCCCCTGGGAAAGTTAATACATTAAACCTGTACCCAGTAGAATCACCTGGGGAGCTTTGAAAAAGCCGGCAAGCTGCCGGGGCCTCACTCCCAACAGTCTAATCAGAATCGCTGCTTTGCTGACTTCCTTGATGGGAATCCCCAAGCCTGGGGCATGGGGTCAGGTGGGTTGGGGCAAAACTGTTGGGCTTCGGGTCTCCAGCTGGAGTCCCACCTCGGGATGCTCCCCTGTCCTACCTGGATGCCCATGTGTCCTGGGACCCCCTTCTCCCCCAGCTGCCCCCGGAGTGGAGCTGCACTTGGGCCTCACCCAGCAGAGCAGAAGGCTGGGAGTGTGGGCAGGATTCCGGTTCTTTCTGGAGAGCAGGTGTGAGTAGGGTGAGGGATGAGTGTGTACATGAGAGAGGGGGGCTGCTGTGGAAGCTCCCTCAGCTCTCAGCTCTGGGAGTCCATGATCCTGATCTCAGAAGAACCCGGTGCCCACGCCATGGTCCCCCTTCAGAGGGGATCTGAGGATGGTTTCCCTGCCT